AACTAATGTTATATTTTCATTCATAATTTTTCATATGCTCCAATTATAAAAAATATCAATACATTATAATTTTTAGCTTTTTCTTTTTTTGGCTTATATCTGTTTTGTTTTTTTCTTGTAATTTTTGATTAATGAATTTCCATTTTTTTTTTTCATTCAAATATTTCAGGATTGGAATAGTTCAATTTTTTTTTTTGTTTGTTTCTGTTCTCAGTATTTACTGAAGATAATGAAACTATTGAGGTTATATATAAATATTGCATTTTAGATACAAGTATTTTCTAACTTTTTGTATTCATATGAATGGAAATTTTGGAAAAATGTTTGAAAGAAAGGACGGATCAGTTTGTTTGTCTTTTCAATTTTCATTTCCAATTTTCTCATTCTCTTTCTCTCTCTCTCTCTCTCTCTCTCGTTCTCACTTTTATGATTGAAGACTCGAGTTCATTTGTTTCTTATTTATTTTTGAAAATACAATTGTTTACAATTGATTTCTTTCAAGAAAGTGACAAGAAATTTGTTTAGCATAAATTTCAAAATTTAGCATAAATCTTATTAGATTTTAAAATCTTTAGATCTGGAAATCTTCAACTCAACTTTTTCTTTTTTTCCAATACTTGCTGATATCGAATGAATGTAATGAGTTTTTTTTTTTTTTTTGAAAAGCAATTCAAATTGTTTTGAATGATGGCTGAAAGAATTTTAAATTTCATGTATTTGATACCAAATGAAGTGTTTGTATTTTTATGAGTTATTAGTTGATTTTGAATATTTTATTTCTTGTAATTTTTCTGTGTATTATTTTTTATTTCCATCTAAATCTCCATTGATTGTTGACTAATTCATCGACAGTCCTATTCAGATTGAATTTTAATTGAATTGATCAAATTCTTACTGTCTTTATTTGTGAAAGATCTAATTTTTGGATAACAACTTTTTTCGCATACACTTTCATCATTTTTGGATCACAATGAATTCTATTAGTAATGATGAATTCAAAGTTATAAAATTGACTTCTGAATTTTTCATAAAAATAATGCTCAATAATTTGATTTGAACATTACCAATTTTTGAATAATCAAAATTAAAAATCTATAATAGCATGAATAATTTTTATTTATTATTTAATTATTCCTGCTAATAAGTCAATTGAAAGGACTGATGATGATTCATTGGCGCATAAATATTTTAATTCTCATTTATTCATCATTTCTCTTTCACATTTGTATTTTCTGTCATCAACATTGTAAGCAACAATGCATTGTGTTTCAAAAAATATAAAATTATCATTTTTACTTTATTATTATTACACAGGCCTGAGAATTTACATAAAATTGCACTATCCTGCACGTTATTTACGTGTGGAGTTTAAAGGAGAAAGAAAACTCGAAAGAAATAATAGCTTTAAGAAATTCTTCAAAAAACAAAAAATTTTTTTCAAAGCTACCATTAACACTGAAAAGTTTTATTTATTTATTTTTGTGAAACTATTTGATAAAATTAATTAGATTTAGAATTTATAAAATAAAAAAAAAATGAGTAAATAATTCCGATTAAGCTCAAATCAAAGAGGTGAACAAAAATGATGCAGAAAAATAATAGAAGAAAGCGATAATCGTTTTTATTATGATTCGTTTTTGTGAAGTGAAAAATTTGATAATGATTTTACATAATTAGCAAAATATCAGTAATTCTTTGAGTAGTAAATGTGGTACTGTGATACTAGGTGGATGAAAATTCCCATCACAAGCGACTAATTTTAATCCATTGAAATGATAGTAATTGATGCTGTGAAATAAGCCTTGTAAGGCCTATCATGGAGGAATCGGAGAGTTCACTATTTATAGGTGACCCGAGCTGAAATATGTCTAAATTTAGATAGTTTAGAAGTTTTATAACCCCATTCTTTTCACTTTTACTAGGCTCTCAAAATTGAGCTCATTTTTCTATTTTTTGATAATTTAAAAAAAAAAAAAAGGATGAAAAAGAATTCACGGTTTCGACAAAATTGAACACTTCAAGTTAATGAAATCGGAGAATTCGGTGATATATGCTTTTCATGGATTAAAATATTGCAAACCCCTCGTGATCAATACATTGGCGAAATTTCAACCCATCAAACATTTTCGATGCAAATAAAAATTATCGATTGATAAATATTTGTGATGAAATTTTAAAATGAAATTTTTGGCTGTACAAGTGTGAGTATCACGTACAAGTATAATAAGTACCACTTAAAAATACATAATAGTATTACTATTAGTAGTAATATTAGTTATTAGTATCAATTAACATCATTGGCTCGTGACAGCTGTTGATGCTGTCGATGATAAAGAAAATAAGGATGCGACAGCGGAAGGCTGTTGTTGTTGTTGTTGTTGTTGTTGATGATGTTGTTGTGATAGTAACGATATAGAAGGTGTTGATGAAAGAGATTGTTGTTGTTGTTGTTGTTGTTGTTGTTGTTGTTGTTGTCGTGGTTGAGGTGTATGTAAAATAGTTGTTGGAGATGAGATTATTGCTTGCGGAGTGGGTAAAATTGTTGGTGATAGAACTAACACTCGAAGTCGATCAACTTCTGCTCGTAAATGTTCCACTTCCAGTCGTAAACGAATATTTTCTTGCTCAAGCATTGCTGCTCGAAGTGTCATTTCATCTTCCTAAATTAGAGTGAATTAAATTAAATTCAATCTTATCAAATTGCTGATACATGAAATGAAAGGGATCCATTAAATGGGAAATGGTGAAAATTTGAAAAAGATTTTAAAAAATTAAAAATTCTAAATGAGCCAGTGAAATTAATTCAATCGTATCAAATTATTGGTAGAATTGGTAAAAAGTAAAATTCAAAAATAAGAAAATTTTGAAAAGATTTTTAGAGAAAGAAATGGAAAAATCGACGCGAAAATTGGTATATGCATTTCATCCGTTTGACAAAATAGATTCCATTAACATTTTTTTTTTTTAAAATAATGGCTAGCATTTTAGTATTTTCATCAATTCATATATTAACAATAATTATACTTCTTATTTGATGTTTTTATTCTAAATTACTTTTATCTGAAAATTACTCTAACTTCATAGCTCTAATTTAAAAATTTCTTATCAATACTAGAATTCTTAAGCTATCAGAAAAATAATATGTCACAAAATTTTATAAAACTGCAAAAAATGTTTAAAAAAAAAAGATGTCAATCAGATTTATTTTGTCAGTACTTATTTGATTTGAAAACGCTCAAAATATTGCAAAAATAAAATTTTCTTTTCTTAAAAAAAAAAAAAAAAACGAAAACAAACAAACCTTTTGCCGTCGAGAATCTCGACTTCTTTTAGCGGCATCATTGTTTTTCCTGCGTCGTTCCCAATATGCTTCATCCTTGACCAATTCTTTCTTCTTTCGAACTGTTTCATTGCGGACAATTACCTTACGTTGTGCAGGTATCACATCAGTATCAGAAGTTGATGATGTAACCTGAAAATGCAAATAGAAACCCATTTGTTCAATAAGAACAACAGAATTAACCTTGAAAGCAGAAAGTAATTGCTAAAATTTAAACTAAATGAACGCATTCATTGAAAAGGCAGTTCATCTCAAAAAAATTCATTGTTATTCTTATTGGAAATTAATTTTTTTTTTTAAATAATTGCTAAATCATTCACCAATTTTCCCACCATGGAAAGAATTGATATTCATTTGGTAATTAATAAAATAAATTCGTAGTTTCTTTCAATTTTTTTTTTTTCAACAATTTTCTTCCCAAAATTTTTATCATTGAAAAATAAAAAAAAATGAGGTTGAACATGAAAGAAGAGAAGAAAGAAGAAGGAGAGTGAAAGAGAGACAGAGAGAGAGAGAGAGAGAGAGAAATGATGGATCAAAAAATTTGAGACATTTGAATGAAATCAAATCTTCAATTCCATTGTAAATTCACAATGTAGAACATTTGAATGAATTCAAAAATGAATTTGAATGAATCTATTCAATACATTGTTTTTAAATTAATTCGAACTATAGCATTAAAGCTAATCAATTGTATTTATTTAGGTGGAAATTGATTGATTGAAATCATTGTTCATTGAATGAATTAAAATTAATTTTTGAAAATGAATGTAGATGAGGATAGATAGATTGAGGATTGAGGATTGAGGGAGAGAATATATTTGAATGGAATTCAGAAAGAATAATAGATGACAAAGATTGCCCTACTGACACAATTATGCACAATTTCGTTTTCGAAATTCATGCAGTTCAGGCTTTCAAATTTCCATTTAAAATTTAAAATCGAAGAAAAGATAATAAAATAAATTCATTTAACTCAATCTTTTTTCTCCATTATTTTTATCTTTTTTTCTGCTGCTTCTTTAGTGTTTAATTGAGAATTTGACGATAAATATTAATGATTAGAGTTTAAAGCATTTATTAAAGTACATGCAATTAATGTTTTTTTTTTTAGTGAATGTTTATCAATTTGATGATAATTTTAAGGCTTCATGAATTGAAATATTTCATACTATATGTGGTCCCTTTTAATATATGGAAAAGAGATAACATTTCATTCCTGTTCAAAAATTGATAATTATCGGTTATTTTAGAGATCAATTCGATTAGCTTTTTAGTAGGTCAGCTATAAAGAAATTTTTTAATTTATATCTTCTATGAGTGTTTACTGCGAAAGATTAATAACAATAACAATTTATCGTAATGAAAGATTTGATGTGTGTACGGTGAGAAGCAAAAATGAACAAGAAAAGAATAAAATAATTTGAAAATTTTCAATTAATTTATTACTTTTAACTAATAAAGCATTAAAAAAGTGAAAGTGAATGGAATTTAATGCATGCAAAAAAATGTAAATAAAACAAATAGTATAAAACAATTAATAGTGAAAGTTCAGATTTGCAAATAAAATTTAACTAGAGATTAGAAACCAGAAAATGAATTTAAGAAATTGTTATAGTAAAATTAAAAATCTCTTTCAAATATAATTAAAGTTTTATTTGATGTTAAATTTGCTTTTGAGTTATTTTTAATTGATGGATTTAGTTTTATTTCATATTAATATCAGTTTAATTTTAAAATATTAATTGGTATAATAAGTTCAACAGAAACAACATTTTCCAATAAATGATCATGGAAATGAAAAGTGAATGGAGAAATGGAACGAATAATGATGTAGACCTGTGTGGAAGGCGATTGTTCGTTGATGGTTTTATCGCTTTTGAAATGATTAAAATCGGTTGTAGGCGGCATAGAAAGAGTGCTAATTTGATCGGTTGGATCGTAAATGCGAAATGGTCGTAAGGTAGGTACAGATGATAATGATGATGATGATGATGATGATGATGATGTTGATGATGATGATGATGCTTTCCCAGATGATTGTTTGGTATCTTCTTGAAACAAGTTGAGGATATTTGAAGGTACGAATGGATTGACCAATGGACTCATTAACGATGTATGCGATAGATGTGGCATGGTACTGTATGTTGATAAATCGTATGGCAGGAAACTCTGAAAATTTGCAATAATAAAAAAATTATTAAATGATAAATTTAACTAAATTATAATTAAGCAATATTTTTTTTGTTAAAATATTTGCCATTAAATTAAGATATATGGTAATTTAAAAAAAATGCAAAGGAGCAATGTGTAAAGATGATTGTTAAAATAGGAATAAATGCTTGAGCTGAAGGATAAGCCAAATGATTGGAGGAATAATCATTATTACTATTGATAAAGATTAATCACATCCCAATTATGTCTATTTTATCAACCAATCTGATAACAATAAAATAGTCTTATCAGATAAACAAACAGATAAAGCCTCTTCTCCGCATTCAAAATACCACGCAAACTATTTATCGAAAATATTTATACAAAAAAAAAAAAATGCTAAAACAAATACTAAGAACAAATTTATTTTGAATTTAAGCAAAATCCATTTAAATGTTTAGCAATTTTTTTTCCGCTCATTTTATGCTTTCAATAAATGAGGCGAAAATTTTCACGTTTACTTTTTTTTTTTGTGATTTTTTTCAAGAAATTTTACCAAATTATTGTGAAATTTTAATTTCAGTCTACAGTAACTTTTTGACTATTATAATGATTATATTGTCAATGCTACCTGTTACTCCTACAGAATCATATAAGAACTTTGAAATTCGTGTGGTGAAAAAAAAATTTTAAATGCTGACTTGTAAAAAAAAAAACTAATATTTAATGAATTCCAGAAAAAAGGATAATGTTCATACAGAAAGAAATGAAATCATTAGTAACAAATAATTTAATTATATCAAAATCAATCGTATTCCATACAGTGTATCAATTGTAATTTTTTTCTATTAAGAAAAAAAAAACAAAACAAAACTGTCACTTAAAAAGATTATTCTGATATCGTGTTTTTTATTTTTTTTTAATTTTTTTTTTTTGTATCGATAGGAATGAAACTTCAATGGATTTATTCCAATAGAGAAGTTGACATGAGATTTTATGAAAGCAATTATTTTTCATTAACGCCTTATTTTATGTTCATTCGGCTTTCATTCCATCTAAAACAAAATCTCCACTAGGGATAATTTCCGTTATCAGTGTAATCATCAAGTACGATCTTCCACTTCTCCTTCTTTACATTGAAATATTTTAAATGAAAACGCCAAGGAATAATCGAGATTTCACAGCATTTAGCTATTTGAAAATTTTTTCCCCGTACATTTCACATATAAATGTCTCAACATGTCCAAAATTAAACTTTAATTTTGAAAAAAAAATTTTCGATTCTTAGCTTTTTTCAGATTTCGATAATTTAATGAAATACTTCCTTTTTTCTATGACATAACAAATGAGAAAAAATTTTTGATGATATCATTTGGTATAAGTTTAAAAAAATAAATTTGGTAGATTCTATGAAAACTGAGCTTTTCGTACTAAATCATGGTATTAATAATTAATTTAATTGTAATAGGTTACTTTATTAATATAATCTATTAAATGAACAATTAATTGTAAGCTATTAAAAAATTTTCTATATAAAATTTCATCCTCACAATATTTTTTAAACTATCAACAAAAAATCATTTCATTGTTCAAATTTTCAAAAATTTGTTGCATAAAATAATATTAGAAATAGACGGAATATTTTGTAAATTAGTCTTTCGCAATTATTTCAGATACCAACTCATAATGCTATCAATCTTTTATATAAAAGCAAATTAACAATCAATTCATCGTACAAAATTATTAACCATGCATTTATAATTTATACAAAATTAAATTTATGATAACTGTAACAGTACTGGATAAATATTTCATCCTATTCATAAAATATGACACTTAAAAAAAAAAAAGAAAAAATAAATTTTTTTTTGTTGCTGATTCAAAATTATAAATATATTTAAATTTAAAACTGAAAAATGTACAACAATTTTGAAATTCAATGAAAAAGACTTTTTGTTATGATTGCGTAGCGTCAGGAGAAAGTTGAAGGATATCCGTAGATGATAATAGATATTAACAATACACGTAAGATAGAAGATACCTTGATGGGAAAATGTGGCAACGGATGCGATAAGGACGTCATTGCTGGAATCGGTTCGACGCTTCGAAATGAAATGCAAAATGAAAGGGAAAATATATTCGCAATTCGGTCACCTATTTCCCCAGATTTTCACTTTTATCTCCACCATCCATACACCATCACCATCACCATCACAGTCGCCATCACCATCACCATCATCATCACCATCATCATCATCACCATCATCATCATCATCATCATCACCATCATCATCACCATCATCACCATCATTATTATCACCATCATAATCATCATCATCATCATCATAATCATAATCATCATCATCATAATCATCATCATCATAATCATAATCATCATTATCATGCATATACAAACATCCATTTTCCACATACACACATTCTCATGATGTATGTAAACCGACACACATACACGCCGAAAAAATTGACGGATCGCTTCATTTTTCATTCAACCCACTAATAAAACCTTTTTCCTACAATTGTAAATTGTTTGCTGTTGTCCACTTTCAACTTCATTGAATTTTGGGATAGCAATAAAAGCAACAAAAAGTATTTTAAGATGACATATCGTTTCTGTACAAAAAAATTTTTTTAGTCTTTTTTTTTTTTTGAAATATCAATAATTAATCATTTGTGATGATAGCAGCAGACATCAGAATTTTGACTTCAATTTCAAATTATGATCAATTATTTTAAGCAAGCAAAATTTAAAGTGATACATTGAAGAGTTACACGATAGGTTTTCCTCTTTGCAAAAACATTCAATGGATTAAATTTATTTGCATCTTTCCATTTTCTCAGAAAAAAAAAAAGAAAAGAAATGAGAAATTTTTTGATACTAAAAATTAATTTTCGACAATAATAAAGTATATGGCAATCAGAAATTTTTATTATTTAGAAATGAAAAAAACAAGCAAGTTGTTAAGACAATTTCTGATTGCAAAAGTTTGCAGAAATGAATGCAAAAGTTATTTCAAATTAGGAATTTGAATCAAAACAAAGTTATATCTTATCATTCATAATTAAATATTTCATTAGTAGTAGTATCCTTGCTTCAATTAATTAAATACGGTTATATGAATAATCGGACAAGTCATTTTTAGAATATTTTAAGAATTGAACAAAACATTATAAAAAGTTAATATTTTATTGGCAGGAAAATTTTCTTGTGTTAATTGCTACCCATAAATATTTTACAATGATTAGCTATTACATTTTTGACCTGAGCGATTCAACGCAAAATATAATTACTCATTTCTTGAATTCTTTTAATTATGTTATTTGCTGAGAAATATTACTTTTAATCAAATTATCGAAATGTTAATGTCAAACAATCATTCAAAAATTAAAATATTTTTTTTAACTTATCGGTGTTATTGCTGATATGATTAAAATAAACAAGCGGCTTTCATGTTTCGAGATTTCTACAATCCACCAATTATATTTTGTTTTTTTTTTTGCATTTTTTCTTCTTCTCTTCTGAATTCTATTTTATTTCAATTATTCATTTCTAAATTTGTCAGTTTTAAAGTTCAATTCAATCATACGATGCAAAAAATCCATTTTGGAGTAATTCATTTAATGAATGCAATTCCTTAAAGATGTATGAATTATTTGAATTATATATTACTCTTCCCTGGAGCCTTTAAAACTTAAAATAAATAAATATTTTATACCAGCAGAACAAACAACATTTTTCTTGAGAAATTTGCAACTATTTGTATTAATTTCAATTTGAAAAGTTCTCATGCTTTATCAAAATGCTATATTTTGATGTCATATTACTGGAAAATTTTATTAACTTAAAAACAGAATAATCATTGATAAAGATTGTTGGTTCGTGTGGAAAAATTGCTTTAACTGGTTGTAATCGTAAAATACCAAATAAATTTACGTAAATTTATATCGTTATGTATCATACACAAAGATCAATTCATTCCATGCACAAAAATTTTGTAAATTTTCAACTATCACAATGTAAAGCTTAAATTTTACTGACCTAAATTCATTACGAATTTCATAATAAATTTTAATGTATTTTGATTGAATACAAACAGGTACGTATCACTTCTGACAAAACCTTTTTTTTTTGTTCCTGAAACCGAACAACTTAACATTTCTGGTTTTCAATTCATCGATATTTGCTATATAACAAAATGCTTAGCAATTATTGCTGTTTGTTAATGTTTGGAATAATTGTGCTATTCTTTTTTCTCTTTCTTTTCATTTTTGAATAAATGCTCGTCACCCCGCAGGGTATTGAAATGAAATCACTAAGTCCGTATTGAAGTAGCCAATC